TGAACCGGTGGCCAGCCAATCGCAGGGCACACATAGACGAACAACCACCCGCGCTCACTCTCACACCTAGGGACAGTTTGGAGTGTTCCATTAACCTGCCATGCATGTTTTTGGAATGTGGGAGGAAACCGGAGTACCCGGAGAAAACCCAAACAGGCAGAGGGAGAGCATGCAAACTCCACACAGGAAGGTCGGAGCTGGAATTGAACCCTGCACCTCTGCTCTCTGCACTGCGAGTCCGACGCGCTAAACAGTCGACCACCGTGCCCCCTCTCAAATATTTTATTTCCCCAAATGCATTTTAATGGGTGTCGATTACATCCGGCTTTTCACCATTTTCGGGGAATAGAGAGCAGGCTGGCTCACCAAGAAATAGCTGTCAGCTTTAAAAAAAAAAAAAAGTCAGTGACCGCTGTCCTGCATTTAAGTACAGTTTTAACGTGCAAACGATGCCTAAAGTTCTTGTATTGTTTATTCGCTCATCATGGATGATGCTCCTTTAAAATCTCCCCTCAGTGAAGATCGATAAAGACAGGCAGCTCGTGATCTTGGATGAAGAACACGAGGTACGTCGAATTTTTGACCCGTTCACTCTATGAACCCGTTCATGTTTCGTCATTTGTTGTTGTTTTGTTTTCCAGGACATTTCTCCTGACGACCTGAAAGAAGAGCTCCCGGAGAGGCAGCCCCGATTTGTGGTGTACAGTTACAGATACCAACACGATGACGGCCGCGTGTCCTATCCTCTTTGCTTTATTTTCATCAGCCCCGTGGGTACGTACGCAAATTGCCTGACGCTTGAAGGGCGTCAATATCCGTCCGGGCTCACCGGAATGTTCCGTGTCTGCGTTTTGGCGCAGGTTGCAAACCGGAGCAGCAGATGATGTACGCAGGTAGTAAAAACAAGCTGGTGCATACTGCTCAACTGACCAAGGTTTGTGAACATTGCTACAAGTCATGGTCGAATACCGATACCGGGTATCATATCGGAGCAATGTTAGCCTTATTTTTAGGTATTATGTAGTCCTGGAGTCTGCCGATACCGGCCACCGATACTTGAGGCCAAAAAATAAATAAATCTGACATTGCGTAAGTGGTAGTAGTTAACGCTGTACTGCGGCAGTTAAACATATCGGTGAATCATCATCTGTGTCAGGAAGAAAGGGCTTTGTGCACTTTTTTTTTGGGGGGTATTGTGTTGAATAAAATTGTATGTATGAAACGTACTAGAGTTATCTGTGCATACTAGTAAGTGTGAATAATCGTACTGGCATTGGTTTGAAATCGTGTTTTGTTTTTTAATCCTGCTAACATTCTCCTACAGTCACATCCGACATTTTTAAATAAAATGTTTTAACCAGCCAACATCCGCCAACAAACCAATAATACGTTTTGTGTCATTTTAAAGCTCTTAATTTTTCAAGCTTTTTTTTTCTTCCCTCTCTCCCGTTTTCTACAATCAAAACATCATGCCAACATCGACTAACAACATTGAGCCATTCACGTGTTGGCGCATCATGATTTTATGCTTCTCTTTACATTGTGCCTCCTTCTGTGGCCTCCTCTTGGCCACCAGGGGGCAGCATAATACCGACACGCCAAATTTCACAACTATTGTGACTCAGTAAGCTGCAGTAGTAAACATTTTTTCGCAAAGGGTAAAGAATAAATGCATTTGAGTATGTTTTCCATTGTCTACTTGTGCTCCTGCACCATTGAAATATCCGTCGCTCAAATGTTGCTAATGTGCACTGACATAAGTTTTGTTAGCCCGTCAATGGCCGTTTCCATTGTGTGTTAGCATTAAGCTAGTGAGCTTTTGAAAACTTGCTCACCATCTGCTCATTTTTGTCAGACATACATTTCAAACCTGAATTTCAATCTCTGCCGCCGCAGGTGTTTGAGATCCGGAACACGGAGGACCTGACGGAGGAATGGCTCCGGGAGAAACTTCGCTTCTTCCGTTAAGGAACCTCGGAAGGTTCACCTGCGCTGCTCTCTTTCCGAACCTCGACCTGATTTAAATAGTGTGTACTACTTCCTGTCTTATTATGGGCTTCTCACCGCTTGAAATGTTTGCGGGTTGAGGCTAGGGCGGTTATCGTACAGCGTACGCCATCAGACGCGTACACCACTAACCACCAGGTCTCATCCCACTCTCCCCATTTGTCATCTCTGTGTGTCAGTATGGAATGAAAACTCTTGTCGTGGACCAAACTCATCCACGTGTCCCAAGTGTTTAGTTTTGGGAGCATTTTCACAGGTTCCAAAAGTGTTAGTTTCACTTCTTGTGTATTTTTGTCTCAAGTACTGTTCTTCCTTTTTTTTTTTTTTTTTTTTTTTTTTCCTTTATCGGTGTGGGAAATCAAACGTCCTGCCTCAGCATGTGAAATTCAGCTTTGTTGTGAAGATTTATTTGAGGGATTATAAAGCATAGTCGAGGACAATGAGGCACTTGAGACCTGAGCATGGCTAACTGCCATTTCCACACGTTAGCATTCATCGGAGTTACTCGTATGCTCGGCCACCATTCAAGTGTTGATTTGATTTTTGAGCTGCACACAGAATATGAAAACAAATATTTCCCTCATGGGGAAATGCTTGCTTTTTGTCAAGAGCGTTGATCACAATTACTTTGGCGCCTTAGTGCACAATTGACACGGCCGAGAAGTCTTTGTTTATCATACCATCCACAGTCAGGGTTTCACGAAATAAAATGAACGTGTCCAACGGGCTCGTAACACAAGCGGGAAGACTTCATATTCTTCAAATTGAGAATTGGGCTCTGGTATCACTCTGGCCGCCCAACTGTAAACAATTCTGGCTCCGCCCCTCACATTGTCTTGTCACTATAGTCGCCTAGTGTCGCAATTCAAATCGGAATCAGCAAATAATCCGATGAAAAGCACGTGTAGACCTAAAGTAGAAGACTATACGATGGTAACAGAACACCCCTTCTTATGCCGGGCCACCACATATTCGTCCACCGTGCAGTCTTAAACCAAGGACCCCCTGTAAATACCTTTGTCATCTTTAGAGCGGACATATGCTTTTTTTTTTCCACAATGTAAAAAAAAAAAAAAAGCTCTCAGGTGACTTCATGAAATTTCTTTTCCCAAGGAGCAAGAATTACAGCATGCTAATATGTGCATCCAACAACAGTGCAGATCTGCTTAGCGTATGGCTTTGATTCGACAAGATTTCCGTGTAGTTTGGGCGGCACTTGTAAATCTTGGCGTTGCCGAGACTCCCGGTCAACGGGATCGGGGGTGCTTCTTTAAATACGATGAACTGTGACTTTACAATCTGGGAAAATGCATAAGTGCTCACTCACATTTTTTTTTTTTTTGAAGGGGGGGGGGTGAAGTGGACACTTTATTGATCCTATGACGTCCTCATTGGTGCCCTCATCTCAAATACATTCCAAACTGGACAATTTACACATACTTTGTTTGAGTCTCGCAGGCTGCGTGTTTCCTTCCTGAGATGATGTTTGTTTTTGTTTTTTTTTCTTCTAAACTAACCCTTGTTCGCTAGTCGTGTTGATGAATGTCGCGCGTAGTGAATGCTGCATGTACTTTTGAAAGACACCAAGCTGGAATGTTTCGTCAAGAAAATTAACAATCGCTTATTGTTAACGGAATGACGAGGCTCTCTCTGAATGTTCTGAACTCCCGTTTCAGGTTTCATTGCGTGGATGTCACTCCACTTTGTTTAATTAATGTCATCTTGGGGTTCTGTACAGTGGATGGCCCAAACTAGTTGAGAGCCTCGGCTGATTCGAGACACCGTTATGCCAATAATCAACTTTGTATCTTTAATTTTTTTAATTAATTGATTATTTCGACCGCAAACTTTTTTTTTTGGGGCGGGGGGGTGCATTGGATGTGCCAGTGACTTGAAATTTTGTGCCTTTTTTTTTTTTTAAGTCCATATATTTGTGATTGTCTTGGATCGTTGTTCAATCTTTTTGGGGTTTAAAATCAACATTGACTGAAAAAAAAATCAATGTGACCAAAAGAAGATGATTTGATCATTAAAATAATTAATCGGCAAGCACTTACTGTTAAAATATTGACTTTTGTGAACATAATGATTGGAAGCGGCGCCCTGGGAGTTGTGACAAAGTGTAAAGAGAAAAAAAAAAAGAAAGCCACAAAGAATGATTGTATATTCTTTCGTGGACGCGACATTCCTTCACCAAGCCGGCAAATTACATGTCAATCAGTGTAGTGGATCTGTGTATGTGGCGCATGCAACAAACATAGTGTTTCTCCAAACGTGAACATCCTAGTTAATCAGTCAGTCGTACATTATAAAGAAATTAAATCTACTTCCATTGTTAGAAGACCAAACGCGACCAAGTTTTGATGGGCAGGATTAAAAATGTTCTTTGGACTTATTGTTTTAGTGAAATGATGCACAATTTCTGGAAGTTGTGTGTCATCTGCTTCTTGGAATACTGTTAACGTTTAAATATGAGACTCAAAACTCCGGCACAGGTTTCTAACTGTTTTGATTTAATTACTATTCTTATTTTTGCTTGATCAATTTGCTGCAGCTGCATTCCATTTGATATATTTGCTTACACTCCTTTTATAAAGAAAAGCCTGAGTAAGCGTTGGGGTCTAAGGTGATTGAATTGATTGTTTCCCTCCCGATTATTATCATGAATATGTAGTGCAGTCGTAGTCGTTTTGTCCTGCTGTTTTTTGTTTTCCTTTCTAACTGAAAGAATGAAAAATAAGACGTTTATCAGATAGTGAAACTTGAGATACAGTACTGTATTTGTATTTTCCATACTGCATTATAAGAATGCATCTATAGTCTCCTGTTGTCCAAATAAAAGCGTTGATAATGTTTAGATTCTTTTCCCATGAATCAGTTCTGGACTGAATGTTGTACATGTACTGTGTGTTTATTTTAAGATGATTAGGCACTCATATCGTGTATGTTTGTACACGTACACAAACAGCTTTGGCCCAAAAAATATATGGAAAAACAAAATATATGAATAACTTAAAATATAGCAATTAAAATTTTAAAATACAAGATAAATACAAAAAACTGAATGACAAATACAAAAAAATACGATATTAGTTCAAAATTAAAGAAAAATATAATTAGAAAAATAGTCAAAAATACAATTTGAGACAAAATATACACACGTGTTCTTGTGAATGATTTTTTTTTACACAAATACCGATAAAATGTTTTTTTAGAAAAAAAAATTGTTGTGTATCTAAAATATGTTAATTGGATTGCCTGATCGTTGCATTATATAGTTGCCAGTAAAAAAAAGAAAGTAAATATTTAAAATATCCACAAGATGGCGCTAAATGTCGAGGAGGGAACGTGACATGGCTCCTACACAGACTGGAGAAGAAGACACACAATCAGGACAGTCTGTGGTTAGCTGGAATCCGTTGTGAGGGCTTGCAACCTGCATCATCCGCTGACCAGGAACCGACGAGCCGAGCCGAACCGGAGCGGAGGGGCACAATGGCGTTCACTTTTGCGGCCTTTTGTTACATGCTCGCGTTACTGCTCACGGCGGCGCTCATCTTTTTCGCCATCTGGCACGTAAGTACACTTGTTGGTGACGTTGAGTTGAGTGAATGTTCGGCCCAAGGAGAAGTAAGAAAGCCAGGCCATGTTGGACGGCCCGCTTGGAAATGTTACGCTTCTGACGTAAATAATCCTCGACACGTGTGGAATTGTCGTTACGTCCGCCCTGACGTAACTCTTCGAGAATGCCGTCGTTGTAATGTTGACGTCTCAAATCAACGCGACAAGACGCCTCATTCATCGTGCGATAACATTCACTTTTACATTCTTTGACTTTATAATAAAACAACTTTACTCGTGAAGAGCACTTCCAAAATCCGAGTTGTTGTTGTCGAAGACTAAACTTATTTAACCTCTTCTCGCGAGCTAACAAGCTAGTAGGCTTAGCGTTAGCGCCGGACTGGAGTCGCATCCCTGTCAGCCGCTTTGTAGAAATCTCGCGAGAGGACACGATGCACTCACCCACAGCCCCACCTTCGTGACAGAGATACAGATTACAATTTTATATGTACCCCCACCCTCACCAAATAATACAATTTTATTTCTAGAAATATCTGCCAGCATTCACACTTTCAAATAACTAAATGTGGTTCTTTGGGGGTTTCCTGATGCCCGCATGTATTATGTTGGTGACCCCTGCTTTAAGCAATGAGCGTTTTTTATTTTTTTAAACACAAACAATGCAGCAACACATGACGAAACACAATCTAACACAATCAGGAATATCTTTTTCATCCTCTGAGAAAATGCCTAATTATACAGCAATTCACTAAAGCACTTTGTTTTGAAAATTCTTGGTGTGTTATATGGCTGGCGTCAGGTGGAATCCTCATTCTTCCGAAGTCCTCATGTTTCAAAGTGTTTTATTCTCCACACTGCATGAGTTATGTTATTATATTTTTTTATTAAGTACAGTACTGTAGAAGTGCTATTTTTCAAATTCTAATGCCTCGTGGGCCACGTTTCTTTCTGCAGATAATCGCGTTTGATGAGCTGAAGACGGACTACAAGAATCCCATAGATCAGTGTAACACTTTAAATCCAGTAAGTAACACCCCCCTCCCCACCCTTATCCCACCACCACCTCAGTCCCGCCATCATTTCTTTATCTGTTTTGAGCGCATGCTGGAATGCCCGGATTGGAGTTGAGTTACTTGAGCAGCGCAAACTTTTTCAATGATTTCTCTGCACTGTCATGCTAAATGAATAACCTGGCCTAACCATGCTTTCTTCCCGCTGTCCAAACTCTAATGCTATTTTTTTTTTTTTTTGTTTTCCCTCTCCCTTCCTAATCCACTGTGGGTTTTTTACACGTTGCCCCTACCCTCTAAAAAAAAGACAGTTGAAAAGGTCAAAAAGATTAAACGAGTCAAACTTGCCCTCAAGGTTTGTACCAGTCTTGAAAATGTAAATTGCCCGCTCATTGTGCACGAAGCAGCAGTGTTTGCAAATGTCTTTTCAGTTAGCTAAACTCGTCGTTAAGCTTGGTTTGGGGTTTCCGCAATACCACCTCAAGTCCAACTTTTGTCTCGCTGTCTTTTATTTATTTATTTTTTAATGTATTGTCGGTCTTGGTTTCAAGAGCTGTCAGTGATCTTCGCTTTAATGTCACCGATGCCAACCAAAGCTGTTAACTGAAAAGACTTGCAAAGGCTCAACGCATGCATGAGATTACGATTCTTGACTTTTTTTTTTTTTTTACTCTGACCCGCCCTTTTGTTTGCACACCAGTACGGTGACGGGAAGTTGAGGAGGTCATGTGATCAGTCTGTTTGCAAACATTTTACACCAAGTGCCACCCAATGCATGAGATTACGATTCTTGACTTTTTTTTTTTTTTTACTCTGACCCGCCCTTTTGTTTGCACACCAGTACGGTGACGGGAATTTGAGGAGGTCATGTGATCAGTCTGTTTGCAAACATTGTGCCACCCAGAAACATATTGAGCACTCGGCACTGTCATCATCTGCAACTGAAATATCCGTTTTTTTTTGTTTTGTTTTTGTTTTTAATACTACTTATTTATTACCTGCCGGTGAAACTCGGGTGCATTTTGGCTCAGGCACTCGGCACTGTTATCATCTGCAACTGAAATATCCGTTTTTTTTTTTTTGTTTTGTTTATGTTTTTAATACTATTTATTTATTACCTGCCGGTGAAACTCGGGGTGCATTTTGGCTCAAGGTCTGCGGTGCCTGAGGTGTGCAGCAGATGGCAGAATACCTGCAGTGTCCAGCTCAGCAATTTTTTTTTCTATTATGGTTATTACGTTATTGGCTCGCCTTTTGCAAGTGGGAGGAGCTATTTGAGCAAAAAAAAATTCTTTTTTTTGGGGTGGGGGGGTGCAGTTGTTTTTGGATTGCATTTAGCAGCACAGTGCAGGGTTTTCAACACACGGAAGCCCAGCCTCTCTGATCCGAAGCCCACCTTCTCTCCCCCTTGTTCATGTGTGTGTGTGTGTGTGTGTGTGTGTGTGTGTGTGTGTGTGTGTGTGTGTGTGTGTGTGTCTTTTCTGTTAACTCCAGGAAGGATAATTAATTAGCAGCTCCCCCGTTTGACTCTCGGTAGTTTGTTCGTTAATATTTTAACTTGTACTTCAACAGCAGTAAACAAATCCGTCTTCTCAGCAGATACCCCAACTTGCTTGGATCTACTACTCTAGTGGTCTTTTTTTTTTTTTTTTGACCCCTAATTTTTGGTGGTGGTCCTTCAAGGCATCCTCCGGCATGATGCTTTTCTTCACGTATTGGAAAGCTTGTCATTTTGATGTGTGGGAAATATGCTATCATGGTGGGGGTCAGTGTATGAATTTTATTTTATTTTTTCCCCCAGCTGGTGCTCCCGGAGTATCTCATCCACTTCTTCTTCTGCGTCATGTTCTTCTGCGCCGCCGAGTGGCTCACGCTCGTCCTCAACCTGCCGCTGCTGGCCTACCACGTTTGGAGGTGCGCACGCGTACTCGCGTGGGAGGGGCCGATGCAACACGGTGACTTTTGAATGCCCATGCGGGGAATTGTGTTTGTGTCCCTCGCAGGTACATGAGCAGACCCGTGATGAGCTGTCCGGGACTCTACGACCCGACGACCATCATGAATGCCGACATCCTGGCGTTCTGTCAGAAGGAAGGCTGGTGCAAGCTGGCCTTCTACCTCCTTTCCTTCTTCTACTATCTTTACGGGTATGCCGCCGTTTTGAGTGAAAATTGAGCTTTGTGTGCTTGTGTAAAATGCCTCCAAAATGCAGCTGTTCCACATAAAAAGCCTTAAAACCGTCTTGTAAATGGAGGTGGGTGACCCAAATTGCCTTCAAAAAGTCATAGAAGTAACTTTGTGGCTATTCAGCGTGTGTCTTTCTCAAGGCCCGAGACTAAACATAATCTTCCATCAAAGTCCTCAATATTGAAGGCATAAAATCCCGTCCCCATCTGCATCCCAACATCTGCATCCCAACACCCCCATTTGGGCCACCATACTAAGATCATGTCGGACTGCCAAACTACTGGCATGTCCAACAGGGTCTCTAAAATGGGTTGTGACGGGAACGAAGCTGCTTCTTTTCCGTCCTACGTCACTTGTTGCTAGGCAGTATTCTCTTGGCCAATGGCAAAATCTGCTTATGTCACGTATTTCGCTTGTTGCTAGGCAGTTTGGTGGGGTCAAGTGTTAAGTCATGACTGCCCAAGTGGCCAATAACAAAATTAACTTATGTCAAGGCAGCCTCAGGAAATGAAAGCAAAAGATTACTGTGAAGGCTTACGAGACACATTACATCGCTGCTCTGTATTGAACATAAAACTGTGAAACCGCATGACAACCTATTTTTGATTCTAAAGATGGTCTGAAAATGGCTGTCACTGAATGAGTCAAAAAAACCTTAAAACTGTTGCATACAAAACAAAAGCCTTCAAAAAGTGGAGGCAAGCTGGAGGTAGCCTTCGCAAAAATGCCTTCAAAATGGCCTATTCAATGTAAATTGGCTTCAAAAAGTCCTGAAAATTTAAATGGTCCCCCAAAAATGTTGAGTTTTTAGTCGGAATGACAAAAAAAATGTTCTTGTGTCTTTCCAGCATGATCTACGTTTTGGTGAGCTCGTAAGGTGGGAAGCATGGATGACGACGACAAAACGGGTCGGGGCGCTTGGAATCTCGGAGCTGTGTGAACACACACACGCACACACACTCACTCGCACACATTCAAGGGAGCGGCCAGAGATGACCACAATCGGCAGCATCATCTTGAATCTCTCGGGCCTCCCTCATGCTGCAACATTTTACGGACAAAGTCCAAAAGGACAGTTTTGTTCTGCTTATCCCAATTCTCAGCCCTTACTTCCATTTGAGGTTCCCCGGCGCCCCCCGGGGAGCTCATCAACAACCCCAAGAGTGTTTACAAACTAGTTAGACGTTTTTCCCACCTGCGATCTGACAGCTGGAAGATGAATTTGGACTGTTATCGCCTTGGAAACAGGACCCCGTCCTGCTCGTTGCGTTCAAAGCATGCGTTTGACCAATTTAAAAAGGTAAATTCAACAACAGTTGGCGCTAGTTTGAAAAACTTCAAGGAACTGCAAAGGAGCACTACTGTTTGTAGTTTACTGTACTTAAATCCTCCCCCGTGTTTCTGTATTTTTGTGTCAAGTTCTCCCATTTGGACGTCTCCAGCACTCCTTGCTCCGAGCCAGTCTTGATGCGTTATACGCTAGCAACGGCATCTGCAAACAAAAGGTTTTTATTGTCGTGTTCGTTTTGTCCAGAAACAGGGTGAAAAAAACCTATCATGTCACATCACCAAAATGTCACTTTCAAGACTTGACCACTTGAGTTTATAATGACAAAAATAAAACCATCCCACTCTGTTTTTGACATTTTTATTATGGCTTTAATTGTACCCCACCGTCCCAAAAATGCAATTAAAAGAAAAATCATAAAGGCTGAAGAAGCAAGCAGAATGAATTCTTTCCGGTTCAGGACTTGGAATTCATAAAGAGCGAGAAATAGATTAAGATGTATTTTATGTTAAAGTGCACTCGATGACATCACAGGAGGAAATGGCTCATCGAGAAACGGAGCGCTCCGTGTGAACCTCTCGGCTCTCTTGGTAAGCGGCGTAGCTTTCTCGGAATTCGTGCAGGAAGTTGTATTGCTGTCCGAGAAGAAGATGGAGAAATTAGGGAAACTCTTTGTAACATGTCTAGAGGTATGTTGAGTAAAATGCCTTCAAAAAGTCCTGAACACAGAGCTCTAAAAAGTGGTTCCACAAAGTCATGAAATGGCGGAGCTGGAGAAAATACCTTCGCAAAGCCCTAAAAATCGAGGACCTGAGCAAAATGACTTCAAAAAGTCTTGAGACATTTGACACAAATCCCTCGAAAGTGCTGGAAAAAGGCATCTACATTAAAGACCTTCAAAAAGTCACAAAATGGTAGTCTATATAAATGTCTTCTAAACATCCTGAATAAGGAGGCATTGACATAAAACACAGCTGTGACATTGGAGAGTCTATCTAATGCCTTCAAGAAGTCCTTATATTTTTGATATTCTACATTAAGGCCTTTGAAAAGTCCTGGCAACAGGGGTAGCAACATAAAATGCCTTCATCAAGTCCTGCATCAAAAGTTCTGCCGATGGCCTTACTTTGACCGTCTGTATGGCTCCGTGTCCCCGGTGCGCGCGCAAGATGTTGATGGCTTCGTTGGCTGTCATGGTTACGGAGAGCTGGATGAGCAAGCAGGCGGTGACTGGAAAATAAAAGAGCCACATCTGAAGGAAATTGCAGAAAATAAAGGTGTCAAAATTAATCAATGAATAAATTTGTACTTAATGCAGAGCGTCCCAGTCCGCCATAGCAGCTGCAATGGAAAAAAAAAAAAAAGAAAACTTGGATGGGGTTGGAGAAGAGCTTGAGGCGCATTCCGAATATTGTATCCGGAAAGGCTTCACAGCGCTTTACTTGTTACGCATTTTGTTATGGCACAGCAAATTCCAAAATTCTGTGGGTTAAATTTTTTTGGGGGTGGTGGTGGGGTCAAAATTTTACATACACTAAATTTGGCCCGGGAATATTCGTCAACGGGGGTAGGGAGCGAGTTTGGGTGTGGTGCGTTCGTAGGCGGAAGCCGGGGAGGCGTTCGACCGGCCCAGATGCCCGCGGGCGTCAATTTCGGCCTGGAGTGGACCAACCATCTTTAAAGGCCATGATAAAAAATGCGTAAAAGTGAAGCGCAGTGAATCCTTTGCGAATCCACCGTCTGGTATCGTGTCCCTCACTGGATGAGGGTCCTGCGGTTGGCCTCTAGGCTGCGCTGCAGCTCGTCCAGGATGCGTCCGCACTGCTCCAGCGGGGGCGCCTCCCCATCAGGGAAGGGCATGTGGTGCACGCTCAGACCCTTCTGCTGGTAGACCTCCAGAAGCGACGGCACGCGGTACTTGGACAGCTCGCCTCGCGTGCACAGCACAAATACGTCCTGCACGCCTTGGTTGTGAAGCTCTTCTACGCTCAAAACACACAAACACACACACCGGATGGCAATTATGCATGCGTGCCACATCAAAAATAGGTTGGCTCCTCCCCCAAATTTTAAATATGGCTATTTTGTAAAAATCTGCAAATAGGTGAATAGTTTTAGAATTAGCGTTGTCAGTTGACGTAAGCTTGTTCCTTTCCTTTGTCTTCATGTATGACAGCAGCGTGGCCTCACCAACGTCTTTGTGGACACTCCGGCGGATATCTTTGTACCTGCAACCTGAACACACACACACACACACACACAATTGTATCAATTCATTTCATGTGCGTGCACGCACACGTTGACACTTTTCTACCTGGTAGGGAACATATGCCCACAAATTGAGAGGAACCCACTTCTGACAAAGGAACCCTGAAAACACAAAACGATATTTATACCGTCATCAGTCAGATGTAGCAAGACATGAAGTAAACAAATGAAATAAACAACAAAAATATTGGACAAATCACTAAGAAACAAAATAAGAACGAAACCAAGAATAAGTAACATAAAAGGGGGAGGGGAGAAAGCATTAGAATAAAATAAAATAAAAATCAGAAAATCATAACAAAAAGAAGTCAAGAAAATATTTTCAGGAAAATGAAACCGAAATAAGGACGAACAACCAGAAGAGATAAAATAAGATTCACCAAAATGAGAATCAGAATGAACAAATCATTTAAAAATAAGAGTAAGAATAAAACCATGAATGAAAAAATAAAGAAAGTTTGAAGGCAGACCAGGAAATGTCTAAAGGCATCTCCTCTTCCTTGCCGACGTCGTCATCTTCAGATGAAGAGTCAAACTGGTCGCTCCTCATGTCTTCAGGCACACAAGATGATCTTATTCACAGCAGAACAAGTCACAAGCCTGCCCCTTTTCTTGAGAACAAAAGAGAATCTTTTTTTTTTTAAAAATCCTCAATGGCGTTTTAAGGATATTATCTAGCCTCGGGAAATAGAATAATATTCTCAAACGCGCTTGCTTCTGTCGAGGGATAGCCAAGAATCCTTTCAAAGTTTTGAGTTGATTTCATTTCTAATCAATACCTTCAACTAAAATGATAATTTGGGAGCTGCTCTATCTTTTCAGAGAGGAACAATTACTGACAGGTTTTAACGACAACGTATCAGCAAAATTATTATTATTAAAATTAACACCATAGTTTGGATTGAACACGAGAAAGTAATTTGTTTGACGACAAACTAACATTTGCCGCGTTAAGCGTCCAGAAAAGACATTTATCGAAGTACACGCAAATAAGACATACTCTAACGATATATGGTGTCAAATATAGAATTACACTAAAAGAATATGCGGTAATTGTATCTTATTTTCCTCACCGGCCACGCACGAACTCCAAATGTTTTGACAAGAAATGTTGCAGTCAGCTGTTTCCGGCTATTTGAAATGTGCATGAACGCAGTAGCCAATTAGAACAATGATAGCCGATTTAGCCCCGCCTTTTTAAGGAAGCATTAACGCCAATACCAAGCATAGTTTGCTTGATTTTGATTCCCACGTTAAATTAGACGGGCGGGATACAGGAGGGTGGTTTGAAATGACGGGCAGGAAAGAAACAATGACATTAAATTTGATAATGACAATTATAATTATTTTATTTTTATACCATTACGTGTGTTATATATAGATTATAAAATACATTCGATGTATGTTTACATATGTCGTATAGATTTAGTGTTTCTAACTTCATATTTTAATTAATCGGAAACACGTTTAAGTGGATGGGACTGCGGAAATGGTGACGTCACAACGGACATCTGCTCCCCACACTGTGCGGAGCATAAAAAAGTGATGGGGAAACACTGAGCCTTTTTTTTTCAAGAAGCAGAGAAAATGAATACAAAGGAGCACATTTGCAGGTGCCACTGCCAAAAGGGAATATAAAGGAGAATGTTGATTTTTCGAGATGCAGGAGTAAAATGAGAGATAATGTAGCGTTTTTAGACGTGCAGGAAATAACAGTAATACAAATGATGATTTTTACAAATTCAGGAGGAAAAACCAAATCAGTGTAAATTTTGAAAGCTGTCGCCGGGGGAGAAGGGGGGTATCAAGGAGTTTTTTAAAGGTGCCGTTGGATCAGGAAATGTCAAGGAGCATCTTTTAAAAGGACTTTAACCGAGGTAAGTTCTGCTTTCGCTTTTAAAATCTAATGTTTTCCTCATATAAAATGAGGTGTTTAAAAATCTCCTAAAAATTGTTTTTCTTTTTTCCTTTAGTGGTTGTCTTGTTTATTTGCAATTTGCGCGCCTGCTGTTCAGCAGAGTGCGGCAGACTGACCTCCTGCAGGGCATGCACTTGCTACTTCCTTGAGCAGAGGGGCCGCTGGCGGGGGGCGCGCCACCTTGGCAAAAACAGGTCAAAAAGCACAAAATGATATTTTAGTCAAGATATAGCCACCTTGTGTGCATTTGGTGGCATTATCACCGGACCAAACGTTGGAAAACATAGTTTTCGGAAGAAAGCGGCGACATTGTACTGAGCCGACTTGTGGAATACAGTACGCAAGTGCAGTCTCTCGTGATCGCAGACAGCAAACATACACTTGTTACTTGGAGCAGACCATATGAGAATAACCCCCGATCTTGAGCCACATGCTGCTTCATCAAGGCCAAGATGTGATTCTATTGCCTTTTAAATTTGCTCATGAGTTTTGCTCATGAATGACTGCGGGTGTGTGTTTTTTTTTTGTGTGTGTGTCAGGTTATGAAGCCTCAGGAGGCGGAACTTGTCACAGAAATCTCCAAGGTAAGTAGAAACACAGGCTACACAGGAGACAAGAGTAGTAGCAGTGATTGTGTTGCGGGAGTAGTATTAGCAGCAGTAGTACAAGTACAATATTAGACGTAGAACTCAGTGGAGTAGTTGTGGTTGTCTTTGTCATAGTGGTGTTAGCAGTAGTAGTAGTAGGAGGGTAATCGCAAAATAAAACAAATATATACATCCTAAAAGCATTGCAAAATGTGGAAAAAAGGCTGATTTTTTTTTTTTTCGCGAGCCTGATGTTTATCGTATGATACGATTTTAGCTGCAGTGGATGGTCTCGGAGCTGAAGACGGGCTTGACGGGCGCCCTGGTGGAAGTGGCCCACATCCAGCATGGGGACTCGGTCCTGCACAACGAGCTGGGGGACAACCAGCGCCGTTGTCGGGAGAAAGCGCGGCGTTTGGAAGCTCTGGTGGAGTCCCTCAGGGTCAGGCCGCATCGCTGGGACGTTGTTTGTTTTTTGTTTTTGTTTTGTTTTTCTCGTGTGCATTGAAAACGAATGGCTCACTGACGGCGCTGTCGCCTCGTGTAGGAGGAGCTTGTCGTGATACGGTGTCAGGTGTTCGCGTTACGCAGCCACACACAGCGCCGTCAGCAGGACGCGGAGAGCACTGCGGCCGCACGAGGAGAAATGTAAATCAACTGCTTGACGGGTTTTCTCCCAGCTGTCTTCGGGCAGAAGGCGGGGGACACCCTGAACTGTTTGCCAGTCAATCGCAGGGCGCACATGTGTAGAAAAAAACAACCACCCACACTCACAAGCACATCTATATATAAAAAATATGATGACTTTAGAAACACATCTCGTACTTTAACAATGTTTAAAAAATATTTTGTGGCTGTACTGTATCTCCATGAGCTGCAGTGATCCAGCGGAGGTGTGCCGCGGAAAAGTTTTGCTGCACTGCTTCCTGCAGGGCCTCAAGGCTGGACTCACCGACGGAACAGGTCACAACAGCAAACACACACAAAATCCTTCTTACAATCAAGATTTTATTATTCATATATTTTTTTCTTTAGAAAAACTGTCTCACTGAACGTTTGTCTGACACAGATGCACGACACCAGGTGGCGCTGCAGCTGCTCCACTCTGAGTGGGAGTACGTGTCTATTTTGAAGCAACTTTACGACCAATACAAGACAACACCCACTCAACACACGACTCCTGAACCTCAGTAAGTTCGGCATGTTTTTAACATCACAGACATGTTTCAATTACGGTAAATGTTTTAGGAAGTTGCCGTTTGTACTGTGGTGTCCATGTATGTGTTGGATGTGTGGCTTCAAGGGGGCGATTCTAGCTCAATTTTACAAAATTTTTCCCGCATTTATGTCTACATACAATATGAAAAATCCCTTCAACAATAGTCTGCTACGTAATTTACAAGAACAATCAAAAGAAAATGTATGTTCATTTTAGATTTACAACTTTTTTTTAGTTTCCATGGAATCGGGTGTAACGGTTCAAACGCTTCTTGAATTGCCGACACGAATGTAATGTGTCCTTCCTCACTTGCCGTAGAGAAACGCACTGTGACACCTCTGCTTGACCATGTTGTTTTGACGCAGTGAAAAGTTCGCCTCGTTGGTGGAGCGACTCCTGCAGCGCCACCTGCTGTTCAGGGACACCCTGCAGGAGCGTCTGGCCGCCCAGCGCTGGAAATCCCTGGTGGGCGACGTTCTGGTGGGGCTCGTGGGACAGAACGACGTGAGCGTGCGCCTCGGCGGGGGTCCCGTACTCCAAACGACGGTCGCTGAAGACAAATGTGTATTTGCAGACATCTTTCTCGGACGCGTACGTGGGCTACGTGGGCGCACTGGCCACGTTCCTCTTGCTGGAGGTCCACAAGTCGGACAAGCATGAGAACAAGCAGGTTTGAAAAAAAAATTAAAAGACAGAGAGGAGAACTGTTCATATATTTTTTTCTTTAGAAAAACTGTCTCACTGAACGTTTGTCTGACACAGATGCACGACACCAGGTGGCGCTGCAGCTGCTCCACTCTGAGTGGGAGTACGTGTCTATTTTGAAGCAACTTTACGACCAATACAAGACAACACCCACTCAACACACGACTCCTGAACCTCAGTAAGTTCGGCATGTTTTTAACATCACAGACATGTTTCAATTACGGTAAATGTTTTAGGAAGTTGCCGTTTGTACTGTGGTGTCCATGTATGTGTTGGATGTGTGGCTTCAAGGGGGCGATTCTAGCTCAATTTTACAAAATTTTTCCCGCATTTATGTCTACATACAATATGAAAAATCCCTTCAACAATAGTCTGCTACGTAATTTACAAGAACAATCAAAAGAAAATGTATGTTCATTTTAGATTTACAACTTTTTTTTAGTTTCCATGGAATCGGGTGTAACGGTTCAAACGCTTCTTGAATTGCCGACACGAATGTAATGTGTCCTTCCTCACTTGCCGTAGAGAAACGCACTGTGACACCTCTGCTTGACCATGTTGTTTTGACGCAGTGAAAAGTTCGCCTCGTTGGTGGAGCGACTCCTGCAGCGCCACCTGCTGTTCAGGGACACCCTGCAGGAGCGTCTGGCCGCCCAGCGCTGGAAATCCCTGGTGGGCGACGTTCTGGTGGGGCTCGTGGGACAGAACGACGTGAGCGTGCGCCTCGGCGGGGGTCCCGTACTCCAAACGACGGTCGCTGAAGACAAATGTGTATTTGCAGACATCTTTCTCGGACGCGTACGTGGGCTACGTGGGCGCACTGGCCACGTTCCTCTTGCTGGAGGTCCACAAGTCGGACAAGCATGAGAACAAGCAGGTTTGAAAAAAAAATTAAAAGACAGAGAGGAGAACTGAATGACAAGAATGTAAAATTGTATTGAAAAAAAACTGTGGATTGTGCACTGACAATAGGAAAGCGGCCACGCGGAAAAGGAAAAGGAGCAAATTCAAGTGCTGTCGCTGCTCCTCGCACCCGTCACACGTGTCCATGCCTACCTGAGTCACATCCAGGTCAGTGTGGTTTCTTCTCAAAATTTTTGTTTTTTTTTTCCCCCCACAATTTGAGTTTTTCCTTGCGCAGTTGGGATTTGAATCACGGAACGTCACCAATCAATGTCAAATTAAATGTAAAAAAAAAAAAAACAAGAATCGTTTGTTTTCCCCGTATGTTGAGAACTTGCTACAGTGGACCGGCAAAGAGCATCCGGACTGCAGCCTGCTGCTGGGCACCGAGCGAGCGCTCAGAGACATTTTGTCGCGATGTCACACCATCCTGGAGGAGGATGTCCACTGGGACGGCGAAGAAGCGCCGAAGCGGCGGTACGTGGACTAACTGACCAACTGCACGTGGAGTTATTCACTGAAAAGTGATTTTATTCATTCTTTGCATGGTTTGCATTTTAGGGATTGCGGCGACGTCGAGGCCGGCAGCTCATGCCCAAACAGCGCCCCTCATCGGACAAAGGTGGAGCATGCCGCTCCGAGGTGAGTGTGGTCGCCCCCTGCCGGCATTAGACGGAACTTGGTGTGGAACTTCCTCGCCAGTGTGTCCATCAAACAAGAATATATCGTCGCTGTCCTCCGAAAAATACAAATGTCCATTTTTTGGAGTATTTAAAAAATATATGTGATTGGTGTGTCCGCGTTTCGGATATTGCATTAACATAGAAAAAAAAAAGATTAACAACAATGAACATACATGTTTTTCACAGGACAGTGACAATATATACTGTTTTTCTTCTTATTAAACAAAAAAAACTATTTAATAATAAATCTATAAAAATATGTCTTATTAAATATATCTACATTTATCAATATGTATTTGATATATTTTGTGTTCATTTTTATTTTAATTTTCCTGAAAAATACATTAAAATAAAATTATACAAATAAAAATTTGAATATAATGTAAAGGAAATAACCTTAAATATGTTAAAAACAAAATGTACACACCAAAATACATTTTATTTTAAAATTTGATTTCTAAATCGGGAAATATTTTTTTCTCCAAAACATTTAAATCAAATGATTCAAATGTTTTGAATTAGAATCAGATTACAAAACAAACAGAAATCAAGTGCCTTTTTTTTTTTTACATTGATTCATTTAATTTCACATACAGGTATGAATTAATCAAAATTTAAAAAAAAAAGACTAAAACATGACCATGAAGATGTTTGTTTGAATTCTTTTGACTGACAACCCTTTTTTTTTCCCTCCGATAATCTTTTTAAAATATCTCAAGATTGCACCGGTGTGGTTCTAATCTTTCCTCCAGAGAGAGCCAGCAGGTGTCAGATCTGACAAACAGGTCTGGCGTGGACCAGCATGCCATGCGTGTGGAGTGCTGGTCCTGCAGCCCAGTGAGGCGGCAGACCTGTCGGTGCGCACACGCCCAGTGTTGCCCTGTCATTCCGGAGCCTCCGGACCATCGGGTGGAAAACGATGACTCAGGCTGGTGTTCCGCAACCCGACGCGGTGACCCGGGTCCCGAGGAGCCCCGGACGGACGTGGACGACACGTCAGCCTTCGATGACTCCTCAGTGACCTCCTGCAGGGAAGGTGAGGATGAGGAAGACGAGGAGGAAGAGGATAGTCATGTTCCGGTCCTCCTCAAGCCGTCCTCCCAACAATATTCGAAGAGGAGCGTCTGCCTCCGCTGGCAGATTCCCAGGCGGACCCCCCATCCCCCTATCAGGACCCCCGCCGACCCATCAACTCCTACCGGCTCCTGCGGAAAAAGGCTGGTCACCGTCAGAACGGGGTCGCCGCCACTCAGAGCCAAGAGTGCCTTCAGGCCCATCTGGGACAACCCGACTAAGCAGGTGACCGCTTTCAACCCTTCTTTGTCAAAAGCAACAAATTAGCATTGATGCTAAGTGGGTAAAACACTGCTGGGTAAATATGGAACTGTTCTGCCTTTTTTGCAAGTGTCTTCTTGCCAATCTCAGACAACCCAACAAATCCAAGATGTAATTTTCCACCTTTTTTTCCCCTTCACAAGGGCCTCCAGGCCCATCTGTTAGAACACGACGAGGCGGGTGTCCATCTTTCTGTATTTAGTATTGCCCTGAAGCTAGTGCTGATGCGCAGCTGCAGCCCCAGTCGCACTTCTGGTATAATTTTTCTTTTTTTGGGGTGGTCAATTATGTACTTTTTTGATGTTTCAGGCACATGTGTCTCCTGAGAAGGAGCACAGAGGCTTTGTGCCAGTCCAGACCTCCGTCGGGGCAAACTTTCTAACCTTGAGAGAACACCTGAGGTAAGAGGCACTGACAGGATGTTTCTTTGGACGGCCATTTCATGGTTTTGTTCGTCTTTAGAGTCGGACAAGACCTGGTTCAGCCACCGACGTCGGGCCTCTCTGTGGCGCCGCCCAATGGACGAGTGTGGGAGGACAGCGAGGAGAGTGAGGGACCCTGTAGCACCGTTTGACGTTGAGGCACTTGAAGGCTTCTCACACATTTTGGGTCCAGGGATCCCTTTTTAATTGTAACACTATTTAGAGGTACACCCCTAAATTCCATAGAAATTAAATTTCCCTTCTCCTCAAAACGAAAAGTTTTTTTTTAGTTATGAGTAACGTCGTCTTATGCTTGGAAAGAAAGTCTCATGGGAAAAAAAGTTACACCGCAATATAAGCTTAAGAAAATGTGCAAGTTTGTAATTGCCTATAGCGGCCACAAGACGGCGCCAATACATTAGGCAAGGCTATCGCCTGACTAAATGTTTACACACACACACACACACACACACACACACACAAACACGTTAATGTATTTTTTTTTTGCATGTATACCGGCAAACTAGAGGAGCGTATAATACACGAGTAAAAAGATTTTTCCTTTTCCTCCTCTTTTGACTCATCCCTTCATTTTTCGTGAACTTCTCCAACTTTTAATCTTAAACTTTCCCTAATTCCGTTGTTTACTCGCTACAGTCTTGCAGCTGCGACGAAAGCACCTTACATACAAATCCGGAAGTCTCCGCTTCTAATACGAGACTTAAATTAAACATACATTAACCCTGCAGTTGCGGAAACAAACAGCACAAGGCCACTAAATGAATCTATGGGCCTTGTCAAACAAGACCAGTGGGGGGCAGGAGGGGCTTAGAGTAGAAAATAAGACTGGGTGATTTATTCAACTCATCAAGACTGTTAATAATAATACAAAGCTCTTAAAAGGCCACATAGTATCCGGAAAACCCAGCAAAGAACCCAAAATACTGACTGAGTTAAAATGTTTAGCTTCTCCAGAAAGAAGCAGGTTGTTATTGTGGTCGTCGTCGTCATCATCATCATCGTCGTATTCACGATGGAAGCTGGACATGGTTTGACGTCTTTTCTGTGTGTGCGTGCGTGTGTGTGCGTGTGTGTGTGTGTGTGGGGGGGGGCTCAACCAAGACGGCCTTAAGTTAACGTGTTTCTCACCCCCCCCCCAAAAAAACCCCAAATATACAAAAAGTTTTGAATGAGACTTAGCAGGATGAAATGCTCGCCAGATTTTGTTTTACAACTTTCGAGAGGAACAAAATGGCTTCCACTGTAGATTGTAAGTGTGTTAGTTGGTTTTCTGTTTTTTATCCGACTGTAGCAGCATCGCTCAATATTATCATTATTATTATGAATGTGATTATTATTAATATTAGGCAATATTGGAATGAAGAGCTGTGGATGAGAGTACAACCAGAAACGTCACAAATTATTTAGTCAATGTATGCGCGCGCGCGCGCGCACACACTCACACACACACACACACACACACACACACACACAATCCACAAACATGTACAAGTTCATAGTCGTAATTTTTTTTTTGTTCTAAACGTTACATAGGCAACTTGTTTTTCTTTTTGTTGTTTCCATTTTAGCATATTATTACAGACACCGTGAAGTAGAAAACAAAACAAAAAGGCACATCCGAGCGGCGTGGTTGGCTGGATTCTCAGTCTGGGGGGTTCGGGGGAGAACGTTTCTCGCTATTTGGCGCTTGGGTAAGGGTCATTCCGACTTGTTTACGCCGCCGTTTTGACATCGTGGCTTGATGGGAATCGAACTTTGCCGGAGCTCGATGTGCAAAAAAAAAAAAAATCCGAGCCATGTGTGGTTGGGGGGGTGGGGAAGGCAACTTTTTGTGTGGCTTGGAAACAGTCACAGTGTTGAGTTGAGGGCACGGCGGAATCACTGTCGCCTTTTGCAAGTCACGTAAAAAAAAAAAAAGGAGAAAAAGCAAACAAAGAATCCCTTTCCCTTATGCCCCTGCATAAAATACGTAAGACTTTGGCAGCTGTTCGGTGAGAAGGAAGCGTAACAGTTGAAGCAACAACTGTGAGAACTTTCCCAAACGGGATGCGTCTGTTTTCTATCGCAATACAGCCATCCACTTTGTCGAGTGCTTGTCCGCATTCGAGTCATGGCTAAGCTGGAGCCTATCCCGTCAATCTTTGGGCAAAAGGCAGGGTACACCCTGGACTGGATGCCAACTAGAAGCGGGGGACACTCTAAAAACAGGTGGTTCAAAAATAACCCGATTATGGGTCACAAAGGGACTGGCCGCTACTTGGGATCACAAAATAACCCCAAAAATTGGATTGCTGTGTGGAAACGTTAGGTTTAAACAATACCAAAAACAAACAAACAAAAAAAAAATCCAATTATTGATTAGAAAGGGGTTAGCGACTATTTTGGTAAATTGAACCCATTTTATTTGTCTCTATTTTTGGGCGCAACTGCCTTTAGAGTGCACCTTTTACACAACCAACTATGCATCCATTTTCTATAGTGCTTGTTTTCACGAGGGCCACGGATGAGCTGGAGCTTATCCCAGCTGACGGCGGGCGAGAGGCGGAGTGCACCCTGGACTGGTCGCCGGCCAATCACAGAGATAGTCGACCAAGCATTCATACCCACATTCGTGCCGTGAGCAATTTTTGAGCCTTCAATGAACCCAACGTGCACGTATTTCAGAACGTGAGAGGAAGCCCGAGTAGCCGGAGCTGCGTTTGGAACCCGGAACCTCAGAACGGCTAACCCAAGACCCAAAAGACACTATTGAAACAATAAAGGACTTCAATTGAGGCAAAATGTGACTTGGCATGTTGATCTCCAGACCGCAACCTAACAGAATGCATTTTACCTGCCGAAGAGGAGATTTGGAACTCAACGAAACAACCCATCCATCCAATTTCTAAAGCGCTTGTCCTCTTAATTCAGGGCGGCGGACGAATTGGCTCCCATCGCGGCCGACTCCGGGCGAAAAGGCAAGGTACACTCTGGGTGGGTCACCAGCCAATCGCGGGGCACATTTAGACCAACGAAAGGTCCACGACGGCCAATTTCGAGTCTTCAGTGAACCTAACATGCACGTTTTTGGAAAGTGGGAGGAAAGCACGGGGGACAACATGCACACTCCAAACAGGAAGGCCAGAGAGCCGAGACTCGAGGCTCAGAACTGCGAGGCAGACGTGCTGACCGCTAGGCCGCCGTGGCCGACACAAGCGCCCCTTATCAGTCAGCTTCTCATCGTCCCGGAGGGCTTGCGAAGAAGGCGTGGCTACGGGTCCCCCGAGGCGCTGTTTTCCACCAGCGAGAGGCCGTGCAGCAGCTCGCGCTTGTACGTCTTTGGTGGCAGCTTGGGCAACTGCGGGCTGGAGTTGTGGCGGGGGGGTACGGGCGGGGCGGCGATGATGGGGGCCG